AATAGATTGTTTTCATCTAATAAAGAACCGAGTTAATGTCACTAGGCTTGCCTTGTCTTGAGCACCCTTCTCATGAAAGCAAGTGGCTTTCATTTATTGGGTGCCCCATCAGAAATAATACGTACTTCCTGCAGAGGTTTGCTTTGATCAGAATAAACTTACCCAAGATGGATATATAACTCTCAAGTTTCATTATATATACAAAACTTCATATATAAGCGTGCCAAAATAGTGGGAATTATCATTCTAGAATGTACTTATTTAACTGGAACAAGCCGCAACAAACAAGCATCCCATCTGAAAGAGCAGGCAGAGACACTTGTTCAAATCACCAGTCCAAACCTATAAAATTGAACTATGAATTTAAAAAACAAAGGCCCTTTTTGAGCGGTACAGAAGTCAGCCAGCAATTAGGGAAGAAAATGCTAGCACAGAAATGAATAAACAAATGCAAACACAGGATTTTAAAGTACTAGAAGTAGCTCAGGCAGAATTCTTAAGAATAAAGTCACATGCCTTAGTCATACAGCTACATAAACACAACAAATCAGTGTGGCCAGAGATTTGTTTCATTACACAATGATAACTGCTAGTCTAACATCTTTTTAACATTTGGAAGTAAAATTCTGCCTGTCTACAGTAGGCTAGGAAACTGTTAGTAAAGAGATACTGAGTTATCCTATACTTAATAGATATTCCATAGTTACTTTCTTACCTAAATGAAAAATATATATATATATAAAAGTAAAAATAATAGCCTTGGATTTTTGGAGAAGACAATTTCCCACCGAAATCCACCCCCAGTCTTCTCTGGAAGACCAGTTTGGGTCCAGTATTGGATTTTATCTTCTGTCAACTGAAGCAATACAGATGGTAGAGTACATTTCACATCTGTGTTCCTTGTTTATATGTTACATTTTTATGCCCTTTTTCCCTCCCCGTGGACTTTCACGTGAGAACTGATCTGCAAATTTTCATGGCAGCTACATGAAACATGCCATCTATTGCTACAGAAGGTAACAGAAAATAAAAAGAAGTGAATTTCAAAGTAAGCCCACTAGTGGTCTTAATGCAGCGTGCTTTGCTGTGGATCACCTTCTGTTCCTTTACGACCGCATTTAACATTTCATGAATTCTAAAAAGCTGCACAGAGAAAATCATCTGTCTTGCTGAAATGGGTAATCTCACCTACATCGTTGAGATCATGCTCTCAGGCCAACGTGCTTTTGGCTCTGTATGAGCACGTGTATAAAATGTACTGCTAATTATTTACATAGCTCATTATCTCCTTGCTCTGTTAGGCGCGACTCATTTCCTTTGTCCACCCGCCACCTTTCAGGTAACAGTGAACTAACGGGCAGAATGTGTCTGAAACTGCTTTTTCAAGAAGGTAAAAACTTAACCAGTACAGAAACTTCATAGGAACATTCAGTGAAATCCTAAAATCCTACTGAGATATCTCACTCTCAGTAGGTTTCAGAAATAAGGCATTTAGATCGCAACCTTCCCGCTAAACACAGAAAATCACCTGTCAAGCTTTCTTTAAGAGCAGTGTAAGTATTTCACAGACAGCTGTGTGCATGTGGAAAGAGTATGAAAAAACATCCCAAGATATGCTGGGCTAATTTCTCCCCCCGCTCCGCCCCCAAAATAAGCTACACCAAGGTCACAGGTAGTGCACCACTTTCAGTAAATATTCCTCATGGAGATAAACTGTGGCCACTTGTACAGTGGATGCTACATATACAGTCACACACACCACTGTATACAATAGCAAGAGAGCCAGACAGCTAGGCTGAACTCCAGCACAGTGATCAGAATCACTCTGACTATCTCATTAATATCCAGCCTCATTGCTCTGCCATCATTAAGAGACTGCAAAGTACCCCTGAATAGCACGGAATGCTCATAATACTCATGAATTTAAAAAAATATTTCTTTTTTCCTTTCAGCCCAGGTTTTGCCTAACATGATGAACATCTAGTGCACTCACCTCATTAAACAAGGAATCCAAGAAAACATTTCAGAAGCCATCATGACAGATTCCTGCTTTGCACAGAGGCAAAAGGCTTACACAGAATACAGCTTACTTCAGAGAAAACTGTACTGCTGAAGAATACAGTAATTACAATTTTTCCACCATGAGCGTGTCCGAGATGGTTATATCTCAGCAAACTGATGCTGTTAGAGAAACTCTGCTGACATATTGCTACCGTGGTGAAAATGGCAATGTACTTGCACTAATGCCCTTTTTATCAACCTTAGTTCAACATTCAGAGCCCTTTAATTTACAATCAAGGACCTGCACGTCTTTCACTGCAGCTGCAGGTGGTGTCAAATGCTGCTGTTGCCTGGTAACTAACAGGTAACTGGTGTGAGTCTGCTATATTTATGTATGCAGAAAGCATACATAATGACAAAAAAACTTTTGTATGTAGATTAAAAATGTATACATATTTGGTCTTCATTTACTAAAATACTAGAGGATTTTTCTCTAGCAGTGAAGCCATTGCCTAATCATACAGTAGAAGAATTGCACTTCCAAAAATTCTTCTGATATAAATTTATTTAGATTATAATTTAATTATTCATATTATAAGATATAATTATTAAATAAGTATTATATTTGCAATTAAACAGTGAATAGAAGTGAACATAACTTAAAACGAGCCCCAAAGTACTGCAAATAAATATAATATGAAAGAAGTATTGTTCAGTATTTGTTAGGAAACTGTAATCCTGCCATCAAGGTACCTACTGCTCTGTCATTGTCCTACTGCTCTCTCTGTCAATTTTCCTGGTGTTTGTCCATCATCTAATGATGATGAAAGAACATTTGGCTTAGATCTAATAAGAATTTCTTTTGCTGCAGTCTATTGTTTATTTTGCTTTCACTGTGCATCTCTGCAAAACGCTTGGCCCTGTGTTCACTAGCCATCCATAGGAAACATTTTTTTGAAGAGTAATAAGTGCACTACATTATCCCTGAACACACAGTCTTCTGTTTTTGTGCAGAACATATCAAGACAGTCATTACTCACACGTCACTCAAGAGGCACCACCGTACTAAATAGGTTTGCTGCGATAAACAGTAACTCAAGACTAATAAAATTATCTGTTTCATTTTGAAAGAATTAAGAGCAACAGTTGCTAATGTGGGGACATGAAGAGATGTAGGGAACAAGTTTCAACGTTGAGGTTCTGCTTTGCAAACTGAATTTTAAGATGCGTAATTGGCTTAGCGCTAGCAAATAATGCTCTTCTGTCTCATTTGAAGACAGTATTTATCTGAAAAAAATATATATATATGCATATATCTACCTGCTTCAGGTTGAGAAATCAATCCCTCAAGTACATACCTAAATGGAAGCTCTGGAACTTTCAGTTTACTCTGTTTCAGGTAATTCTGAACTTAAAGAACAGGAATGATGTAAGCTACTTCATCTTGAACTAGTATGTGTAAATGAATATCTGACACTATGCTCTTGATAAAGACAAAAATTTGAAGTACAGCTTGGCTTAGCTGTTGACAAAAAATTAATCTCTAATAGATGATAGATGTTTCCTTGCCAAGTGACAAAGTTTCACATTGCTTTGCATTCAGAAGCAATTGTTCTGTTTCCACATCAACAAAACAAAAAACAAAGAATAAAGTCAATCCAGAGATTCAAACTTATCAAAAGCTTTTCCCGTGTCAATGATTTAAGTGTCTTAGGACTTTTATAGTGTTTCCAAAGTAATATAGAAAATATACACAGTTCCTGAAATTCTTGAATTTCCAATAATAATTTTCATGTGTCTCCATTATTGTTACAATGTACTATTAAATGCCAGGGTTTGTTTCTGCAGGAAGCAGCATGAACAAACATCTGCCCATTGCTCCCTCCCCACAGGCATGCCACAGTTCTCAGTTGTGCCACTACAACTGATTCTGCATCTGCACAGGGAATTGCATAAGGCAGTGAGCTGTGCTAAAAATAATGCTGGGATGGACAGGGGAAGAAGTACCCTGATTAAGCAAGCATTTCTATGGCAAGGAAAACCATGAAATTGTGGCTTAGCTATCTCAGGCAACTGACAAGTTTTAGCCATGTACACAGTAGGTCTCTACATGCAGAGCTGCACTTGCTGCTGAAAACAGACTGCAAAATTCTGCTCAACACAACTAGTTCAACGTACCATCTACAGAAACTTTAGAAAATTTGTCTCCCTTTTTCTCAATACTTTTGTTTTCATTATTAAGTCAATCTCTTCCTCTCTCCCAAAAAACAGAAAAAAAAACACACTATAATTTTACATTCCAGAAAGAAGCAAAATACTTCATGTAATAAAAGCAAAAGCAGATAAAACAGCTATTAATTACAGAAAACAGAATGTAGTGTCCCATCTACAACTCTGAATTTAAAAAGAAACAAAAATTTGCCCCTTCATGCATTCAAAGATGTTTGTATTTACATAACAGTATTTTATCTGAGAAGAAACCAAGGCCCTGTATTTGAGCCACACCCCAATACCCTCTGGTACACCAACACAATCCTATAGTTGTTATATCCAAAGAACCTCTGATATGTTTTTTTTGTGCTTTAACTACAAAAGGTGCTTGAAAATTAGAACACGTGCAAGCACACGGAAGTCCAATCAGAAAAATGTGCTGATATTCAGAATCAAGTGTCCATACGTATGTACATGCCTGAGCAGACTGGACTGTTCTGAACACAACCCTCCAGCATTGGATCTTGCAATTTTGTGTACATGTATACAGAATGGAACACTCCAATTCCTATTTATATCACATTTTCCTTTCCTAAATTCTCCTTTCAAATTTAAAATTATATCCTAAGTACACATTTGTATCTACAATACTCTAAGAAATCAATACAACATCTAACGTTATAAAGATGGTGGAGCTAAACTCTCCTTCCCTCAACTATCTGCCTCAAAAGATCTCCAATCCACTGTTGCTAGAACTCATGCAAGGAAGAGAAAGAGACAGAACTTACTGAAAACAGCCAGTGATGATACTCTTGATTTAATGTGGTGACATGAGACTTAGAAATCTGGGTCTCTTCTATAAACTCAACCTGATCAGATGTGCATGCTGAAGTTGCAGACCACAGGCATGATGGATCATTTCCAAACTGTGTACAAAGAAACAAAACAAATAAGTGACCAGTTCATTTAAACTGTGTTTGCATGAGCTGAGTAGCACTTACCCTTCATACAACAGTGTGTTTCACTAACATGTTTTTCACTGCAAGTTACCCTGAAAACCTCTTGAAAGGGATAATAGAAATAATGCACTAAAGACAATGTCAAGGCAAGCAAAAAGACTGAAGTCTGACATCAGCCTTATACAAAGTATCATCAGAAACTCAGTGTTGTGCTTTTTTGTTTTTTGGGGTTTTTTTTGGTCAGCTCACCTACAAGCACTTACGAGGCATCTTCAGGTTTGCTATTTTAAAGTTTTTTGGAAGGAGCCAGCAACAACAACATTCTCAAAATCCTTTCTAAAGACAACACACTACATTTTCAAGGAAATATAATTTGAAGAGGCACATGTTTCTGCCATATCTTTAGAGAATTTGATGCTACAATATATTTAATCCTTCGTGTAGCATTTTCTTTTCTTACCAAGAGAACTACAATTATAAAACAACACTATAAAGGCCATTAATTACTGGAATAGACAAAACTCAATATCAGTACTGTGATAATTTCAAACAAATCAGCTCAATGTAAAAGCATGCACAAATACAACAAATTTGTTTCTCTTATTCCCAGAATTTGGCTTGTTAGTGTATCAGTGTCAAAATCGACAACATAAGGATATCTATGGGATTATCCACTTTGTGGATAGTAACACATAGGTGAGCTGGAGCTCTTTTCACTAGAAAAGGATCAGAAATAGGTTTGTTAAAAAAATAAATACATAATGAGATGCAACTTACAACACTGTAATTAAAGTGTTCTTTTACTGGTATAGTTAAATCACCTCTAAAACTTCAGTTCTGTACAGTACTTCCAAAATATGCACAATGACCATCACTGTATTTGAGCAGTGCATGTGTACAGTAGATTTGTATGCATATTCAACAGGCTGTCCCTTGAATTAACACATGTGCAGCATATTATTCATTACAAACATTAGAGACTGACTATTCAACAGTAATTACAAAATGAACACAAAGTGTAAATGTAAAGATAAACACCTCTGGTCTGAAATCATGATAAAAAACAATGCAGCAACAGAATGGATAACATCCTGCAAGAAATTCAATGGCTTTGGTAGATGGTAAGCATAAATAAGTCCTTTGAAATATTTCAAACATCTTGTTTTTCACTAAAATTGAATTCTAAAAATAATTTTGTATATGACCCCTCCACATGCAAAATGGCAAGGCATATGAATTGTACCATATATGCACAAGCTAAATATCATAGGTTATTATCCAACAGATTGTTCCGAGTTAATGATAGATATTTCCACTCATACCCCCACATTTCTATCTATGTTTAAATGTCTTTACTTACATAATGTCAAATATCTTCATCACCAATCTAATTCTGATGGTAACATCAAGGCTGTAGAGCATGGAAATCACACTGAAAAGCGTGAACCCTTACATTTTTGTTAGTCTTGGGCCTGACAGCAAAGCATCTTTTATTTATTCATGAGTTTCCTGAGAAGAACTAGTGGTTGCTTTGTGTCAGCTGAACAGCATTGTAATTCAATCTTCACTGGAACCTGTTTATCTGAATGACTCATTAAGGTGCAAGCTTACTGCTAAAGAACTCTGTTTCATAACAAGTATATTTTGTTAAGGAAATATGTGCTTAGAGAAGGTCACTTTATGTGATCAATAAGTTTATCAAAGTTTATTTTTCAGAGGGCACGTTATTTCTTAAAAACAAAAACAAAGGAAACAAAGCATAGTCACACCTGCCAGTAGTAGAACGCCGCAAGGACTGCATGGTTGGCAAGCAGAACATTTTAAAGGCAAAGGCCTTGAAGATGAGGGCTCACTGCTGCACTAGAACAGAAGAGTTTCTGATGTGCTCGAAGCTTGGCGTGCAAACACAGGATTTGCAGTCAAAACACTACTGAAGGGCTCCATCCCATTTTGTTACAAATGCCAAGGTCTTCTGAAATTCTAGTCTTTCCAGAGGGGAAACACCTCACTGTCAGAACATGAGATCCACATTTAAGTAAGCAGTATAACATACTTTCCCATTCCATACAGATGTCACAGGACGTATGGAATAGCACGTATCTATCCCTATTCATAGCACCCATTCACTTGGGTGGAAACTGCTTTCATGTACAATTTCTTATAGAAACACAATTCATTTCGTTCATGATTGAAATGCTGCTCAGTGAGCATGGCTGATGTAAAACCCAGTGGTTCTTGAAAAATGCCAGGAAATACAATTTCTGAATCTTATGGCCAGTGAAAGCAAAAATAGACTGCAGTCAACCAAAACAATTTGAAATTACTGCAGTTTGATTTGATGAAAGTCTGCATAATAAGTCTGATGAATTAGCATTCTAGCACTGAAACAAGCACAGTATTACATGCAAAAAGTAATAGGGTCTTTATAACCATAAAAAAAACAATGCCAGGGTACTGCATCCTACCTAAAAGACAGTACCACCACTTCTTCCAGAAGACCCCAACAGTTCCTCCCAGATTTGCAGCAAAGTACTGGCACTGATCCAAAACCAAAGCCCAAGGAAACATGGAATGCTATAATTTTTTTCAGCACAACTGTCTGCAGCTTCTGGGGGTGGTTCCTTATTTTCCTCCACATTCCTAACCTTGTGCAGTTTATAAGATCTGACAGGGTCACAGTGCAGTAATTTGGCCGCAGGCAGCCACCTTTCCAAACACCGCACGTATATACACACACTGTGCTCTTTGGACTGGCTTGCCACCAGAAAAAAATAACAAATAAAAAATAAAACAACATTCCATGCATTTTGCAATTATTTCTGTTTTTAGTTTTTCAGTGCAAAAAAGTCAGTATTTATTACAAGTCTTTTCTACCACCAAGTCTTATCTAAACCAGCCGCTCTACATGGCCAAAGAAACAGGGGTGTAACTGAGGTTAACTTTAAGTTACATGGACAGCAACAGGGGAGAGACTGGAGAAGAGGGAACATGCTTTCTACAGTAGGGAAAGGATTTCCTAATACTGCTATCTTCTAAGAAGCAAGCCTTAAGGAATTATGAAAAATAGCTGTTTGAGGAAGAAAAAATCCTTTAATCACTTGCAAAATTATTACCTCTTTTCAATAACCTGCTCACTGTTAATCGAAGGATTCAAAAAGAAAAACAGCAAGCATTTCAGTTTTGAACTTGTTAACCACAACAATGCATACTTATTTTTTCCAATTCTGAAAGCATTTTGCTCTTCAGTTACACTACTCCTTGGTCTTGCACTCTAAAAACTGTACTTGGCTACAGGAAATGAGAGGGTATATTTTCTCAGACTGGAATATAGGAGGAAAAACACAACGCAGCTGATTCATTGGTGAGGAACATCAGTGTAACATTCACTAGAAACATGGAGCTGTTATAAAAAAAAACTGTGTGGGGAGAGAGAAATATGGAGTCTTGTCTGAGGAAGCCATGATGATCTTAGAAATGGTCTAAGAAGCAGGTTTGGCACCAGCAATGCTTAGTTTGTCCTCACAAAACATCTCAAATACCATCTGGAAAATCCAGCTCCTGATATCCTTTCAACCCATGCAACATATGTTTGTTTTAATATTCTGGTATTAAGTTAAATAATACCTCCACCTTATTTCAGCTGAGAATAGAGAAATATTTTGATGGTATTTGACCCGTGATTTGAGAGTTTCCTGGTGGATTAGACAATCACTAGGTTTGTACTATTACTACATATTTCAAAGTCACAAAACAGTCAGTTAGCAAGATCACACCAACTGGTCCTTAATCTTATTAGAAAAGACAAATGTCTGCAGCATCAATTATTTCATAGAGATTACTGCCTTAGCACCATTAGCCTTTACATCACACAGACTCATTTTGAATCTTCAACTCCATTGTCATTTTCTCCACTTTTTAAAATTACAACCTTTTATTATGTTCCTTCTTTAATCAACTCTATAGATACGTCCATTCATTTATGGATGCATTAAGAAACTAAGAAAGAAAGAACAACTTCCAAAACTATAAGGCCAGTGCAAAGCTTTCATAGCATTTGGCAGGCCTTAATCTCTCCTGCAAGCAGTACTTCCTTTTAAATATACATAGGTCCTGGTTTTGGCTAGAATCGTTTTCTTCCTTGTAGCTGGAATGATGCGGTGTTTTGGATTTTGGATTAAAATAATGCTGATAACACAGATGGAAACGTTCTTGCTGAGCAGTGCTTGTACTTTTCAAGAACATTACCTCTAAATATGTGTCAGCGGAATCGCTGGCTAAACACTGACTCCAGAAATGTATTAACCACAAGCATTCAAAAGGTGAGGAACACCTATTGGATCTCCCTCTAAACAGAGGAGCATCGATAAGTAATTGCTCAATATCAACACCTAACGTAACACCGTGTTTTTGATGTTTGGTATTTTAATAGAAAAGATTAGTAATAATTTTGCAACAACAGTACTATTCCAGTGAAGTTCTACATTTCTCCATTAACCTGCAGAATCTCTCTTATTGGGTGAGCATGTGATCACAGCCAGGAGAGGACCTGTCTCTGTCCCTGAGAAGTTGCTAAGATCAACTTTTAAGTATATGAACTCCTCAACTGGGCAAAAAGGCCAAGTGCTGGTCTCCAGTGGCCTGGGAAAATTGGAATGACCAAATAGCCTTGGTCTGTCCTTGAACTAGCTCCTCTACATGAATTCTTTTCTTTAATTCTTATATTTGAAATAAGAGAGCCAAAAGCTTTTTTTATGTTTCATCATTGCAATAGACAGCACAGCCATAATATCCTCCTGATCACCAGATGATCTAGTTGATTGCTACAGATTAGATCATTAGATCTTACAGTTTGGGAGTTATTTTGGTTTTTCCTTCTACTTTACTCCCCACACATTGACTCTTTTTTTTTTTTTTTAAATCTCATTCCTTTCTCTCCAAATCTGTGATCATCAAAACTCACTTTCAGG